AGAGAGAGAGAGAGAGAGAGAAGCGGTAAAAGAAAGAAAGGACTCACCTTGGCCTTAGTAGCCTTGTCCAATGTATGGCCGCTGAAACGGATCGTGCTCTCTGTGGCCGCCATCTCCAACACCCCTGTAATACATGCAAAAGGAGGTCACTGAGTGTCGCACGCCGATCTCCAGAAGCGAGGCCTCGCGCCGTGACAATGACACAAATCCTTTCGCACTGAAATCCCTCGTTTAATTAAAAGCCCCGATACGAGGAAGGATCAACAACCAGGAATTTCAAAAGTTGATCGATTTGTTGCACAATCGCAGGTGGTCGTTTCATAAGGTTGTTTCGCGAAACGGCAAATTCTTTTCTCTTTCGTAACAATACGTTGTAATTACGTCGTATATAGTTCATTAAACATATATATATATATATATGTTCGTTGTAATTTTAAATTGAGACTCGCGAGACAGAGGCAAGAAATAAATTTACTCGCACGCGTATTTCAATCAATTAAATTATCATTACTTAGTAAGTAAAGTTACTGTTCCATTTTATACTACTCTATAGTAGCGTGTATATTTTCCAAAGTCAAATTGCTCGCACTTTTATATTCTCTGAATTCTTTTACCCTCTTTTCTACCATCTATCGACAATTTACAAAATAATGATTGGAATATGACTTCAAATAAAACGACACAGCATCGAGAATGATCATCCTGTAGAAATCTGTGTTTAGCATGAAATTTTGTTAATTATATGTAATATCGTTTAGGTTTATAGTAACGTGTATTGAAGGTTTGCTAGAACAAGTACAATAATTATACATACTTTCAATCGGCCGAAATGTAATTTCCTTCGTCGTTTTATAAAGTTTCGCAAGAAGGAATAAGAAGTTTAGTTTATGTGAACTGTTCCGAGTTATTCGAACTATTCCAATGAGAGTGCCTCTCTCCTCACGCCTCTTTCTTCAGGAATTTCTTCTGAAATTCTTCTTTCTATTCTTCTTACGTCATTATAGCTTTCACTCTAGACGTTTGTTCAGACATTATATTATACAACATCAAACGTACGCCTGCGTTCGTTATAATTATCAGCAATTATAAAAAGAGGAAATTCGAACTGTTGTCGGGTCAGATTTAAATTAGCTAGATATCCCTTTTAGAAGAAATGATTGATTCAACTCCGAATTTTTTCAAGTAATTCTTCGATAGAATCGATACACGTATTTAGAATCAAAATTATCATTTCGTAGAAGCAAACCAATAAATAAAGAACGTTGAAAAACATTGTAAACTTCCATAAACAGTGACACGACGAAGGAAATACTTGATAAAAATTAACGAGAGGAGTGGCTGATTCTTCAACGTAATCAATGAATTGCAATAGATTGCAAACTGTCCAGGCATTTCTAAAGAAAGAGAATCGAATTAACATCGATATATTCTACATATTCTAAATTTCACTTTCACGAGTAATTTTAATTTTTTTCATTCATCATACTTATGAATATCCAATGTATTTTATATATTCTACGGACATTATGTTATCATTACTTTCATCACTTCGCGAGACTACTCTCCATTCGGAGTATGCCAGGTAATCGGAATTTCTCGAATAGTGGCACGATCAGCCAAGCATGTTAAATGAAGATTAACATGAAGGATACTCGAACAAGAAGTAGTAGAGGAACAGGATCGATATGCATTGCAAACTGAGAGCGATCGAACGAGAAAGTATCGTTCCGTAAAAGCGAAGAGATGAGGAAAGATAATGAGAAAAGAGTTTTTGAAGAAAAAACTCTGTGAGATTTCAGTAAACATAGCGAGATATAAGACGAAGGAGACATACGCATTAGATAGAAGCTGATCGATCGGTCAAGAGAATGATCGATCAAATTAATTCAGCGGTGAACATGTGTCGAACATTGCAAGGCAGCGTGAACGTTCTCTCGCGGTAGAGCAAAGGTTGACTAGCCTTGGAAGTTTATTAAATAATGGCCGCGGTGAATGATCGTGCAACGTTCAAGTCGCGACGCGGTGTT